CCTAGAAATCTATGAAATCTATGAAGTTCTGTCAGTGTTGTATAACTACTGTAATCTTATCCCACCTACACATCATGGGTGGAATTGCAGTTAGAGAACTCTAAAATTAAAAAAACTGAGGAGGGAGAAGAAAGGAGGGATCTTAAAATACTGAGATTAATTTTGTCAAGTTCTGATAATAATCAAATGCTTCATTAATTAGGTAACTACTTGTGCTCTGTATGTTTGCATATACACTGGCAGATGTTGCTGTTAGTCTCAAGATACAGCTTCTTCCAGTCAACAGCAATGAGCTGTCTCAGGAGCTATGGTCTGATTTAGATGTACTCAGTTGCATTATCTCTCACTCCTTCCACCTGTGGAAGTTGTCAGTAATAAGACCAGACTGGAATGTACAGTGGGCTCTTCTCAAATCAATCAAACACAATTCTGCAGCAGTTACTTTATCTCCCACTCCCAAGTGTCGTGAATGTCAAGAGTAGGAAAAGAAAGTAAATTAAAATTGTCAAATTGAAGTTAGAAACCCGAAGTTGGGTAACAGCAGCACTGATATAAAGGCAGTTTATAAAATGTGCAACTTGGAGAAAAAAAAAAAAAAATAGAAACATGCTTGAAATATTTAGAAGCAGAATCCAGTCTGTCTGTTGATGACTTCCTCAAATCTGTAGTAGTACTGTAGAAATCTGTCAGGAAAAACATGAATGATGGTGTTGCAGAATATAATGAAAATGTAGCAATTTGTGAAGCTAAAAAAATGCAATAAACTGTTCAACTTGCCATTTTTAAGTGACAATTTTATCTCTCTCTGGCTCTAAATAGTTTTGCTGCTGTTCGTGGTATCATTCTTTTCTGGTGCTTGTTGGTCCTGTTTTCAATGGGAGTTTTGTCCACAGGATTCTGACAGAGGCTTCTTTTTTTCCTAAAGAAAGAATTGCAAGTGTTACTAGTTTTGTCTCTGCTAGCCTTTTTTTCAGACTTTTCACTTGTGCAATCATTTATTTATTTTTTTAAAATACACTTGCTTTTGAAGGTTTCTAAAGATGTCTTTTACCTCATTTTTAGGTGTTGTAGATGGAACAGGGTTGTTTAATTTGTAAAATGCCTGTAAGATTGATTACTTCAGTTTTTTTTTCTCCACAGATTTATGTGCTAAAGAGATGTAACATATATGAGGGTGTTTTAGTCTGAAAATTTCAATGTCTTTAATCAATATTCGTAAGCTATTGTTCAAATATTTAAACTTTGAAAAAAAATTTCCAGTGTTTTATATTGAACGTTTTGGTTAAACTGCATTTTATAGGATGTTTTCACACAGCAAACTGTGATCTGCCCTGATACAGTGACTGTTTCCTTGCACTCTTATATAAAATGTAAGAAAATTGTTCAGAGTATCAGTAATTTTTTTCTCCTTTAATTTTAAGGATGTCTCTAGAATAATTTTTTCTGACTTATTTTTCAGTTTTGGAGAAGTGACTTTTTAAAGTATTTTAAAACTGTATTCTTTCAGTAAATATACTGTCTGGTTTGTTGTTTTTTTTTAACAGTATTTCAGCCTATCAAGAAAGAAGATAGTGTACTATACCAGTTTTGATCAGCGGCAACGAGCAAATGCAGCATTTTTAATAGGTGCATATGCTGTAAGTATTATTCATCACATGGGTACTTCTAAACCTTCCTTAAGAGACATCTGCTGTGTGTAAAATAGCATCTCAAGGGATGATCCTTTAGAGAGATAGGGAAATTGTAATTTAATTCTTCTCTAAGCTGTCTTTGAAAATTCTGCTGTATGAGTTTTAAGGAAACCCTGTCTTTGGCACTTAACTCCATTTACTTTACTGAACAGGGAGTGGATTTGGCAGATCACATGCATGTTTCCTGTAGGATACCATTTTCCTGAATGTCAAAAATGCAAACCACAAACTTACCTCTAAACTTGGCTGTCTTAGGATCAATTGCTGCTCCTGGCTATAGTGAGAATCATACTGGGGAGGAGAATTCTTTTTTTTTTTCTTACAGCCTTTCTTAAAGTTACTAGACCAGAGGCATAGTGATTATTGGATGGATTTCTTTTCTTGTTTAATTTTCATGCCCCGCCCAGAATAATAGAAAAATTGAGGTATTTCAGCCTTCTAACGTTACAGATAATATGCAGTACTTGGGGCCCTCTTAGTTACACAAGCCTGATTTATTATGATATCACGTAAGTTTTGATAGTCCCAAGCTGACACTTGCACAGCCACTTGAGTATCTTCATAGCAGTGCAGCTCAAACTTCAATACCTTCCTGCTCTACTATCCAGAATTGGAGCATACTTGTAGAAAACTCGGAGTCTTTGAGATAGCATGTTTTATGCTGATAAAGTATTGAAATTAGTGAGCTGCTGGTCCTGAGCTGACATCCACATGGTCAACTGAGTTCTGGAAGTCTCTGTTAAGTCAGGTCTTATACTGTGTGAAAGCTGCTGTATTTCTTTCAGGCCTGAGGTCATGCTGAAAGCAAAGCTCCATAAATGCAGATGATAACATTGAAAGAATTTAGGTTGCAGATTCTTGTAATTAAACAGAATGTTTTACTGCAAGTATGTGGGGGTAGTGTGTAAATGCTCTTGAGAAACAAGATCCACTTAAATTTAAAGATGGGGGGAGGGAAAGTGAGTATAAGTTCAAATTTTAAAAATCTCTGGGTTAGATTTTTAATCCTTGGGAGTAGATCTGATGGAACAACTCTGCAAAAGTAATAGTAAGAACAAATGAGTTAGAATGTTTTAAGTTTGTTATTGGTTTTGACTGTACAAGGCTATATTTAATAATGCTGAAATTAATTTCCTTTCTATGTCTTATACTCTGTTTAAGTAGCTTCCAAATTTGATAGTATATCTTCATAAGCTTTCCTGTCCCTTCAGATCCAAAATCTGCCTGATAGCACCTTTAGTAATGATTCCCACACTATAGTTTGTAAACAAACTCCAGTAATTCCATTCAGACTGCTTTTTGTTTCTGTTTGCGTCATTATATCTGCAGTTCTGTATTTAGAAAGATTCACTTAATGTTTTAAATCTGGTCTGTTTAAGCCTGTAGCTAGAGAACACTCATCTAGCACATATGTAGATTACAACATCTAATTGCCTTCACTGGATTGCCCTTGTCTGATCCTGCCTTCACCTTCCGATACATCTTAGAAGCCTTGGAAAGGGTAGGATGCTGGCATTTTGAAGGGGATGAGATTACCTTTTTATTTCCCTTGTCCAGTCCTTGTTGTATGAGTATCTCAACTAAGTAGCTGTTCTCTGTGGATAAGGGGTTAAAAGGCCCTTACCAGTTTTAGGTATACACAAGGAGAGAGCACTACTGCCCACAAAGAGAGCTTGCAAAGCCAGGTTGTAGGAACAGAAAGGTAAGGAGGTGAGGTGCAAGACAGAACTCCAAGCAGAGGACTGATCAGCTAAGTAAGACTACGCCATATTTACAGTATTTAAGACTGAAGCATGGGAACAGTCTGGTATATTTGGTAGTCCTTATTCGAAGGAGCTGCTCAGCAGCTAAAGCTAGGGATAAGGGTACCAGAAATCCCTCTAAAGAAAGTCGCGAGGGGAACACACAGCATGTATACATGATGTGACTGTGTAGGTACTCCACAATGGACATCATGTTGCACATCACATGAGTTGGTAGCTTATGTGTACCATAAGGTAAATTAGTGTGCCACAACTGTGTGCACGCTTAACCCTTGCCTAGCCTGTATTAAGCTGCTTACAGTTCTTAGTTGCTAGCATATGCAAGTGGTCCACATCTGCCTTTGATACTCTTAGTCTCTTGCCAGGCTAGGGGATGTTTTAAGTATCTTCTGGTTATTGAAGATATTATCTACCAAGAATAATTCTTCACTAATACAGTGCTACCTGTACAAAAGAAGTATTCCTTCTCTTGTGGAAAACACCTTATAGTCACTTTTGATTCATCTCTATTTAGTATAACGTTGGAAAACGGTTTGCACAAAGGTATCCAATATGTTACAGAAGTATGTCATCCCAGAATTATTTCTATATATGTATATTTCTAAACTTGCAAGTGCTTTGGAAGTTCATTCACCTTCTTCTATTAATGATTGCTACTAATGTCAATAAATTCATGACATGCATATTTATTCTAAAAAGTTATGATGTACCTAATAATCTGACTTTTGTTTTTTAACTGCAGAAGCTTAGCTTTTATAATCCAAGTGTGTTAATTTTGCACTCAAGAAAATTTGCACATTTACATTTTTTGTGTGTTTTAACTGTAAATGCTGTGTTCAGTCAGATGCAGTAGATATACACTCTTGGGTTACGTGGTAAGGTGGTTCCTAACCTGAAGGAATCTAATCATGTTCTTCAGTAAAAGAACTGTGTGTAACTGGCAGTTTGATCTATTACAATTTGAATATCCAAATTGTGACAGAAATACATGTACTCTTTGATTTAAGGTCTTCTAGATTTTATGTCTTTTCTTCAATTATACATGCTTTTTGAGACTAGAAAGTCTTATAACCATGCACTCTACATGTGTGAAAGTTAATTGAGAAGGCTTATTTTATTTGCCCTGGTGTTAAAATATTAAGTGTAAAATGAAACGTGGAAAACAGTGGATCAGGTTCTAGGAATGGATTTCCAGTGGTAATTATGCAATGTAGATTGTTCCATTAAACAGCTTCTTAGACATGTTAAACTGAAATACTCTATAGCTATTAAAATATTTTAATAACAGGCTAATAAGTTGAAGTGAAAGTTAAGTCTTACAACTTTATTGGCAATAGGTTGTCTGTTTGTAAATTGCATCTCAGGAAGATGTGTTTTTCTATATTTCACTTTTTACAATGAACTTTCAATACATTTGCTCTAATCATGTCCAGTGGTTAAATTATTGTCCTTGCTCTTAAGAATTCTTCAAAGATTACTTTTTTCATAAAATTCAGGTTAAGAAGAAAAAAATTTAAAGCGTTACAAGAACAGAAGAACATTCCGACTTCTCTGATCTTACAGAGAAGTTCAAGGGTTCCTCCTAAATGGCCAAGACTACAACTTAGACTGTTCAGTGGTGTCAGAAACAGAGCACTACTAGGTTTTGCAAAGTCTTACCTGGCACCACAGAGAATATTTTGAAGCTAGTATTGCTTTGGTTTTCCCTTCATCTGTTTGGAGACTTAAGTTAGTTTTTAGGGGTTTTTATGTAGTCTTCCACAATAGTTCATTTAAAAACTAAAAAAAAAAGTCTTTAAAAATAGTTTTAAAAGAATATTGCGAGTACTTATGATGAATTATACTGAAGAGATTACATGAACTCCCTGGTTGTCATCAAAGAATTCATTCTTAGAGAAATTGTGAAGGAGAGTGCATTTTCTCCTGTCTGATAACATATGGATGAATTGGGAGCTGGGTCTATCTTTCCATTCTTAAGGTATTTGTTATGTTCGTTTTCCGATTGGAAACCAAGGAACCCACACCTGGTTGTGTACTCTGCCATCTGGTAAGGTTTTAATTCCCTGGGAGAGAAGAGCAGGAGGAATACTAGTCTGTTTGTACCAGTGACTGCACTTATATTTCTGGAGAAATGAGGTGAGGGAAGAGGGAACGTACATGGATGACACTTCCTCCTCCTGGTAAACCTAAAGCTTTAGAGCTTTAATTCTACCCTGTAGCAAACAAGTAGTAGTTCTTTTGCAGTTCTTCAAAGATCGAAACTTGATTCGTGGACCAAAATCTGACTTTTGAGCCGTCCTGGTAAAACATAATGATTTCATACTGTGACAAACTCTGAAAAGAGATCCAGTGAGCTTTCTCCTTTTCCTTGAAGTAGCAGGTGGGCTGGTCGTATTTCTTTCTCACAATTCCTTTAAGTGTGTGTGTTGGTAGTAATAGCTTTTATTAGACTTCAGTAATGCCAATAAGGGGGAAAAGCTGAGTTCTTAAGTTCGTAGTTTTATCACAGAAAATGACTGGGTAATAGCAAACTACTATGGCATGTTCAGTCATTAGCTTGTAGGAGTGTTTTTTCCCTCATTTAAAAATACCAATTAGACGGCTCAGCCCTAGCGGAAGCTTTAAAGGTTTGTTCTCTTGTGATCTAAGTGTATTGCACTGTTGTTGCTCAAATACGTAATCCCTCCCTAGGAGGGTCAGCAAGTACAACAGCTTTTCAGTTACTGCAGTGTGTACAGCCTCTTCGCTGTTTCAAGCAACACCTTTCTTCAGGTTTGCTTTAGATTGGCTTCACAGAATTCTTGTGATAACTTAGCTGCTCTGGAGTGGATCTGTTCCATATACTTCTAATTTGAAAATGGGGGGCGGGAACAAGATGAATCCAAATTGTAGATGAACGTTAAGGTGGACTTGCAAAATACTAATTCCCTTTTTGGTCTGTAAACTTTTAAAGGTATATAGTATGAATTTTCTTCGTAGTATGTATGTGGCCAGTGTTGCTACATGTCATGTGTCTGTGTAGTGTCTCAACTGTGGAGAGCTCTATCTTTCAACTACATAATTATTCAGGATGTTGAGAATAAAAGAATGGAAATGTTAGAAAAAAAAATTGAAAAGCTTCAATATTTGCCACATCTGTTTTTTATGGGTAGTAGTGCCACATGATATGAATTAGAGTAGTGACAGTGGGGAAAGGGAGGAGAAATTCTCCCTTGTAAAACAACTCTTGTAAGAGCATAGTTTCTATCTGGAAAGTGGCTTCTTTTTTTTAAAGACTTTTACTCATATTATTCCTTAGAGGTTCAGTTTATACAAACTATTCACTACAGGCTCTTTGGGTTTGTAATTTTTTTTTTTTAACTGGGATATGTTGCAGAATGAAAGCACTCTGAAGATTCATCGTATTTGATTAAAAAAATGAAGCTAAGTTTCAGTTGTTGATTTTTCATTTATAAAGATGAATCAGAAGAATGATCTCCTGGGTTTTTCTTAATGAATATGACTACTTTTTAAGTACTAAAGACAGATACTGTAGTGTTTCCTTGTCTATTTAATTATCCTTCCTCCTTCATTTATTGTGTTATTCTTGACATCTGTGACACTTGTTTTTTCAGGAGCTCTGTTTAGTGTTTCTTTCTCTCTACTTCCTTTTGTGTTCTTAGTATCTTTTTCTTTTTTCCATCTTGGTGTCTTTATTATGAGGTTTTATGAGCTTTGTGGCAGACAACTAGCAGTGTTTGGTTCCAAATGTCATGTATACTTGTCTTTGGGCACGGACAGCTTTGAAGTACCATAACTTCTGTGAAATAAAAACTGCAGCATTGGGAAAACATAGTACAAATTTGCCCAAAATTTCTGACACCCTACTGTGTAAGAAGGAAACTCATCTTTCTCTGAAGTCCTCTGAACTTACCCTCTAAGGATCTTTTGACTGCAAGTAGGAATTTAGGCTTTAAACATAAGCTAATTGACGTGATTATTGACATTAACTGACATGAATAAAATCAGTATTTTTCTCTGAAATACACCCCTCACTGAAATCTATTGCACAGGATGCATTGTTCTTAAATGCAAAACCTTTGTGATGAGGAGGACTATAAAGGAGACTTCTTTCACAGACTTAGAAGAATCTTCTACAAAGACTGTGGAAACAGAATAGTATTGCTGTGCTGCAGGGGTGGAAAGCATAAAGTCGGTGCTATTAGTTAGCAATCCTTGCTGTAGACAGACCATCACAGCTTAAAGATAAAAAGAAATTGCCCCCTCTGCTATTTGAATTAAGTTAATACATATATCCATTAAGTAAATCTCTGAATCTGTTTCAATGTTAGTAATTACTGGTTTGGCCCCAACAACAAAGAATCCAATAATTTAGTTAGAAACAATTGTTCTGATAACACAGAATAAATCAAATGGTTTTCCTATAGAAATTGTGGTCTGTTTTGATAGAGGAAGGTTTCAGGTAAACGTTTGCTTTCAGAGGATAAGGAGGGGCGAATATGGAAGTTTGGGCAAATAGAGAGACATAATTTTGAGAAATATGTAATTTGGGCACTTGATAAATGAAACAGCAATATTTACACTGCCACAGTATTGAGATTTAACATTTGAAGATAAGTGGGTTATCTTCTTCTTTTTGGGTACTGATTATACTGATCCATGCTATCAGTGTGACTGTGATGAGTGGAGCAGCAACATTGGAGTCTGAGACTGAAATACAGCTCCATGGCAGGGAATTGAGCTTTTGAAGGTGAATCAGTTTACGTAGAGGGTTTTGGTCTGAAATTAGACCAGTTGTTCAATGCAGTGAAATAGGCGGTAGTTGAAAAGCAGAAATTATTGTGGACCTTCTTTTCATTGTGTCATGGCAGTGAGTTTTTTGAGACTGTTTTACTTGAGTCAAGTTTTGGGGTTTTTGTCTTTATCTTTTCCGTCTGCCTTGTCCATGCTTGAGGAAAACATGCAAGAATATCTACCTACCATGTTGACATCTTACGGAATACTAAGAATCCCATTAACTTGAGATATGAGTCTAGACATAAAGCAAATTGCAAATATTCTGGGAGTGACCACCATGTACCTGTATTCTAATGTGTTTAAGGTCAAAAGCTGAATAAAGCTTTTAGATCAGGAATTAGCCTATTCCTTGGTTAAGAAACTAATCATTAGAATACTTTATGTTCAAAAATTAAATGTGCATAGAGCTAAAAAGTAGCTATGTAGGTGCTGGTTGTAAAGTGAGTTGGGAGGAAATGGCTAGGAAAATTGTGTGGCTTTGCTTACAAAACATGTTTGTGCATGTGAAATATGCTACTCCAAACTGGATGAAATTTTTTTTCTGTAAATAATGCACTTGCTTAATATGTATTCCAAGTTAAACTTATTATAGGACCAGTTTTACTGTAAAATAGGAGTTGAAATGCAACCAGATGTATTTAATTTCTTACTTATTTTAAGTGAGCTGAACTGATAGTGTTCAGCGAGAGCAGAATGAGCCTTGGCTTAGGGTGTTAACATTAGCTACGTCTTGGTCTCATAGTAACAGGTTCAGCTTGTTGAATTGGATTTTTTTGTTAATTAGTAGTTTGATATTGTCAGTTAGGAATCAAAAAATATTTGTGTTGGGAAATGTTCCATTGAGCTGTGATGGAGAAACGTTTCCTTTGTCAGCTTCTGTGATAATATTTTTGACTCATCTGAAGTTGGACAGAGAACTCGTAGCATAGATGCCTATTTTTCATCTTAGTATGATGTTGAGTCTGTCTTAAAGTCTCTCAGTTGCAGTGATATGTGATTTTTTTTTTTTTGAAGTGTGGGAATAACAAAACAAATCCCCATTTCTATTGATTTCTGAATCTTTTACTTTGTGTAGATATGTCTTTTCTGATCTCTCAATGTCAATAGGAGTCAATCATAAAGGAGTATAGTATACATTCTTAAGACTTTAGTGGGCTGGGGGAAGTGTACATGTGGTTAATGACTTTTCAGGCTCAGGGCTTATTTTTTTTTTCCTCTCCTCTTACCCCCTTTAGGTAATATACTTGAAGAAAACACCAGAAGAAGCTTACAGAACGCTTTTGTCTGGATCTAATCCACCATATCTTCCATTTAGGTATGTGAACATGAGAAATGGGCCTGACTTTTGTGGTTTGAAATTTGCTACGTATAAATTTTTCAGATTTTCTTCTCAGGAAAGGGTTTCATGTCTGATACAGATGATGTATCAAAACGACTGATCTCCAGAAAAAATGTTTTTTACTTCTGGTGGAATTACTTGCTCTGTGTTGGAATAATAAAGCCATTTTGATTGATTTAAGTTTTTAGTAACACTCCCAGTCTTGCAAACTGTTGGGTTTAGAAAATAGTTCTTAGCATGTTTGTGATTTAGCAATTAAAACTTTTCTTTATGAGGTATCATGTTTTACTATTTGGAAGTAATTCAAATCTTTTAAATTACCTAGTACTTACCCAGCCAGGCTTACATGAATGAAGGGCATTTTATGCGGTTACATTTTCTCTATTTTTCCAGAACAAGTACTGATGTTCCAGTCTATTAGATTGCCTTGCCTTTCTCTTTTCAGTGTAACTCCTCTGCAGTCTTTTTCTGTGTGTTTCAAGCCCTGGGTTGCTGGGAGATAAACGGTTGGCTAAAACTAAAGCTTTTTTGGCAGGCTGTGTTTTTTTGTGGTGGGTTTTCTGTGGTATGGTTGGGTTTTGGTATGTTTTTGGATTTTTCTTTGCTTTTGTTGTTTTGGTGGTTGTTTTTTTTGTTAACACAAATCTTTGGCTATTTTAGGTAGGAGGGAGGCAATCTTCTTGAGCAGAGCCTTGCTGTTTCTAGAAGGAATGTAGTGTTATGAGCTTTTGCTAGAAGAATAAAACATCTTGATTTATTGAGTGTTCTTTCTATATGGCGTGGGGCTGGAAAGCACTTCAGTTTCTTTTGGAGCTGCTTTGGGACTACACCAGGTCTTGGCACTTGATTAGAGCCTAAGCAGATTCTGTTACCTGTAGTATAGTTTGTCCTGCTGAGAAAGAAGGCTGTGTAACCTAGCTATATGGGAGGTGACATAAAGAGGAGTGAGGAAATAAACTGAAGGATTCGGACAAGACAGGAGGCCAGGTAAGTCTGATAGTTAGGGGGAGGGGGTTTTGGGAGTTGAATTCATAGGAAGAGGCTGGACTGCATAGATACATAAGGAGCTTAAGAATTACTGAGGCTGAGAGAACGGCAAGTATATCTGATGAGAGCCTGCAGTGGGACACTCTAGATTAGCTGAGAGTGGGGAAGAAATAATTTATTCCTCTTGCCTCGGTTTTCCAAGGCTTTTGAGATTATTTTCTCCCCTTGTTCATTCTGGTGCAAAATATAGCATGATACAAGCAAATGAACCTGTGCTGGAAGCAGAAGCACTGTCTTAGGTAGTGTATCTGCTTGGTATAGAGTGATACTGTGAAGAAACACATTGGTGCTATGAGAAAGTTTACACTCCTTCCTTGTCTTCAGTGTCTTGAAGAGTACTAAAATGACTTTTATGTACAGAGAAAAACATAACCCAGAAGTCTTACCTCCTATCCTAAGCTCTAGGAGGGAAATAATGAGATTAATCATTGGTATTCAGTACTTATTGACTTGAATTTATTCTGGGAGCCTGGAAGTTAGATATTGTATAACTTCTGTAGTATAGGTTTCATTTGAATAGTTTGAAGTGCAAGATATCAGTGAGCAATGATCAGTTAAGTGTCACAGCTAGACTATTTAACAAGTTTGTTAATTTGATATCTGAAGTGTCTTCTATTGGGGAAAAAAAATAGACAACTTTCAGTAGGCAGAAGCTGCAGGATTGTCAGATTCTTATGGAGTACGGAGGCATGTTTACATGAAGTGATCACTGGGAAACTGATCTACTTTCATCTAGCTCAGTGACCTCAAAAAGCCTTAATCGGCTTACATCTTCAGCTGGTATTTCGTTTAAAGACAGCTTCAGCAAATATTGTTCAGGGGTGGAGCAAAATCAGAATACTCTTACAAGCTACATGGAAATTGTTTGGGTTTGTTTTTGTGATAGAAAAACTAAAGGCAAAGCAGGAGATTAAGGCACTACTGTCTTTGAGACACTTTTATTTTATTTTTGGCTGATTCACCGTCACTTGGTGACACTCTAGTCTCTTGAAGATCTTGTACTGTATATTCTCACTTTGATTTAAGAAAACGGTGCTAACATTTTAAGTCATCATGAATACCAGTTTCCTATTGTGAAACTAAATTTTAGATTTTTACCTCAAACTACTCTATAGTGATTTTATATTAAAGAGAAAGAAGCAAATATATTTTAGTATTATTGTTTTCAGTCTCTAGATATGACATGAATTTCAAAGCTAGATTTTAGTTTGTAGCTTTGGAGTTTGTTTCTTTAGTGGCAAGTGCCGGGGAAACAAACTTTTGTTATTGACAATGTTTAGAGGTTTGGTGAAAGGGAAAGCGTTATGCAGTATTGAGGTCAGCTACAATAACTGGGAAATTGGGTGTGGGATTTGCAGCTCTGTAATGCTGGTTCAGATTTATACTTTATCTGCATCTCAAAAATATTCACGTTTTTTCTCATTTTGAAAGCAAAAAGAATACTATCAGAAAATAGTTGATAAAACATTGTTTGAAAATCAAGGTGGTTATGCATTTGGCCATAAGACTGGAAGAATACTGTAATAAAACATGATCAGCAACAGAAATCAGAGCACCCACTCTGTAAAACTGTGCAGGAGATGTCTGTATGTACTCTGTTCTATTATTCTGATATGAAATGAGGTCTTCCTTTCTCTTCTGTGCTTTTTTAAACACAGACTTCTGAGTCAAAAAAGAAGTGTAACATTTGGAATCTAAATAGCTCGGTTTCTACCAGTAAAAACACTGGTACGTTTCTGTATGCATAAGTAGTCCCAGTAAGTTAAACGTGACTGCTGTCTTAAATGTAAGCACATGCCATAGTAAAAGTAGGATAGGATGCTGACTGTGTACAGTGGACAAAAGAGAAGAATAAGCTTAAATAGGAAGAATGTCTGGAATTCATTTTAATTTCATCTAAAATGGTTTCTTCAAGGTTAGTAAAGGAATTTTTTTCTTTACAGTACTCTTCCTCATAATTGTTAGTGCTTGCATTTGTTTTACTGTGGTACAGTGTGGCCCATGCAGAATCTTGTTACATGCAAGCTAAAATTAGTAATTATTGGTCTAGAACTTTGAAATATATCTGTCATCGGGAGAAAGAAAATGCATGCTGGTTGATCTAGCGCTATATAATTGACTTCTCAAGTCAATGGGGTATAAGAATACCTGTATTTCTAACAGGATTTTTGTAAAGGTTAATACTAGTTCTGACAGTATCCAATATTTTTATCCCTGGTCTGGAAATTTATACATTAGTAGGAAGGAAGACAGGTTGACACAAACAACGATGAAATTGAACTAGCTGTTCTGCATTAGTATTTAATTATTTAGTTTTATCCAGTACAACTATTAATTCATGAGGATTCAGAAAATAAGATCAAATTTGTGTTTTAAATATTTACAAAGCTTCTTAATGCTTTGACATGACTTCTGACTGATTCCTGTGGGCTAGAAAAAGAACTCGATAACAGCCTCAACCTGGAGGAAGTAATCTAGGTGACTAGGGGGGAGATTTGTTTTGGTTTTGTTTTTAACAAAGAAAGAATCAAAGTAATTAGTGACTTAAAATACCTTAGACAACTCCCTCTAAACAAAAAGATGTTTTACTCGAGTAATTTAAAACATTCAGGAAATAAGGTCACAATAAACTCTTAATCTTTGCCTTTTGAGTATTTTAAGGCCTTTCTAGACATGTAGTTGGTAGTAAGATTAGCATTAAGCATCTGTCCTCTCTAATACTTCTTTAAAATGCTCTTTGACTAAACTCTAGAGGAATGCTAGCATTTCTCTGAAATAATATGAAATTGACTATTTGATAGGAAGATTGAATATAAAAAATGTCACTTCATAAGTACAATGTGACTTTGCTTCATAAATAAATTATGTTTTTATATTGTTTTAATATTTAAAACAACTCTGTAAAGTGCATTTTGTTGCTTGCTTTGTGTTCTGAGACTGGTAACTTGGATTTCATCTCTTTAATACTGAGTCCACAAGCACTTGCCTTACCTATACTTCACATATCTCTCTACTATATCAGTGGATCCAACATGTAGAGTCCTCATGGATTATACATAAAACTTCTGCCAGATGAATTTTTTTGTTCTTACACCTAAAATTTAATACCTGTAGGTATTTTAGCTTGAAATTCTGGAGCTTAAACCAGTAAAGTTTCAGAAAGGGTTTTGCATCTGGAATTCATTCTAAGCAGGCAGTTGTACTTTCGGAAACTAGAAAAGAAAAAAAAAGTATTCCTGGATTTACCCTGAATTGAAAGAATTGGGAGTGCTAAAATAAAAATGACTGTGACTTTAAGGAGGAAAAAAAAGCACATAGATTTTGTTCCATTTTCTTGTTTTCCAAATTACAATAGAAGGAACTTTAATGATTTGCTTGTGTTTTCTTATCAGAAGATACTTGAGGGGCAGAGGCAGAGAAGGAGAGATATTATGGCAAGGTTTGATACAATATGCTCAGTATTTGCCATGGTTCACCAAACATCATGCTTTCCCTTGAAGCATTATGTAATATTAAGCCACTGCTTCCGGGCGTTATTTCACTACCATGCTGTCCTGTAATTCATATCTAGTGTTTGTTTATGGCTTCGTTACATTGTCGCGTTCTGCCACTAAAGATAGATGGGGATGTGAGCTTTTCAGATCATAGAATCATAGAATGGTTAGAGTTGGAAGGGACCTCAAAGATCATCTAGTTCCAACCCCCCTGCCATGGGCAGGGAAATCCTCCACTACACCAGGGTGCCCAAAGCATCATCCAGCCTGGCCTTGAACACTTCCAGGGATGGGGCATCCACAACTTCTCTGGGCAACCTGTTCCAGTACCTCACCACCCTCAATGTCAAGAATTTCTTTCTTATATCTAACCTAAATCTGCCCTCTTTCAGTTTAAATCCATTGCCCCTTGTCCTATCACTACACGCCCTTGTAAAAAGTCCCTCTCCAGCTTTCCTGTAGGCCCCCTTTAGGTACTGGAAAGCTGCTACAAGATCACCCCGGAGCCTTCTCTTCTCCAGGCTGAACAGCCCCAACTCTCTCAGCCTGTGTTCATAGCAGAGGTGCTCCAGCCCTCTAATCATCTTCGTGGCCCTCCTCTGGACTCATTCCAGTAGCTACATGTCCTTCTTGTGTTGGGAACTCCAGAGCTGAACACAGTATTCTAGGTGGGGTCTCACGAGAGCTGAGTAGAGGGGCAGAATCACTTCCCTTGACCTGCTGGCCATGCTCCTTTTGATACAGCCCAGGATACGGTTGGCTTTCTGGGCTGCCAGTGCACCTTGACGGCTCATGTTGAGCTTCTCATCCACCAGCACTCCCAAGTCCTTTTCCTCAGGGCTGCTCTCAATCCATTCTCCGCCCAGCCTGTACTTGTGCTTGGGATTGCCCCGACCCATGTGCAGGACCTTGCACTTGGCCTTGTTGAACTTCATGAGGTTCACACAGGCCCACCTCTCCAGCCTGTCAAGGTCCCTGTGGATGGCATCCCTTCCCTCCAGCATGTCCACAACACCACACAGCTTGGTGTCATCTGCAAACTTGCTGAGGGTGCACTCAATCCCACTGTCCATGTCTCCAACAAAGATGTTAAATAGCACTGGTCTCAGTACCGACACCTGAGGAACACCACTCGTCACTGGCCTCCACGTGGACATTGAACCGTTGACCACAACTCTTTGAGAGCAACCATCCAGCCAATTCCTTATCCACCGAGTGGTCCATCCATCAAAACCACATCTTTCCAGTTTAGAGATAATGTTAACTCAGTGTGTTGTGCGTTATAATACTGCTATTCTTTGAGTTTCTGGGCATTTGGGATTAGGTTTAAACACCTTTTTATTTGTTCATTCCAAAACTTCGCTTGTTTGGAATTTCCTGGCTTTCAGTCTGTCTATTATTTCACTGTGTGTGGATGGCAAGTGTCAGCAGAGCTGCGTTTTCTAGTCAGAGTACACCTTCTTTAATGGTTAGGTGCACAGCAACAGAAATGCAACTCATCCGTTTGAGGCACGGATGACGTAGGCAATAGATGTTAGCTGCCAGCTTTCATGTGCACTCCACTGGTAATAGCTGTCGGTGGGAACTGTGACTAAGAGTACTGTAGGCCTGGAATTGTGGTAGGCTTATCTTGTACATCTAGGTCAAGTTTAACGTCCCCTCTCTCTTGTTCTCATAATGTTTCTTAATAATGGGTTAGAGATTATGTGACTTTTTTCCCCAGTACTGTTTTCGTGTACTGTGTGGATCAGATGCCTTATCAGTTGAAGTAGTAGTGAGATATATATATGTAAAATTATATTCTTGTTATAGTAAAATAACATGTAATATAGAACATGTCTGCTACAACCGTATCTCCCATTCCTATTTCTCTAAATACTTAATTTTGTGGTTTGTACTGTCTTAGGTTTTGTTGTTTCTGTCAGCCCCTTGAGAAAACTAACAGTTTTTAAAGATTTTCTGCTGTGTATATGTTCCCATTAGTGCCTTAATATTTTTTTGCTTGGAAGACCTTTTTGTTTACTAAAATGATTTTGTGCTAAGATGATCTGTTATCCAACTTCCCCCTGTCAAAAATGTGTTATGTGTAAAGTTTATATTTTACAGCTTTGGTAAGTTCAGTTTCTCAAATACAATGAAAATACTTATGACTTTTCATTTTAAAAAATTTCTTTGGATTTGAATATTGAAGGTTTATTCACATTTTAAAGTTCTCGTTCTAAAACATTGTGGCTAAGTAATTTTCAATGATCTAGTAACTTGAAAGTTTTTCTAGAGTAGGCTGCTGGTAGTATGACACTACGAAAATTGTAGCTTTTAATTTTCTTAGATACATTTTCTTTGAATGCTACTTGCTCAAAACTACTATACTTATTCTGCTCTTAAAGAATGGACAAGAATATTCTACGCTTAAAGTGCTTGGGATTGAAGGAGCATATCAGTATAATAAATTTCATACTACTTCTAGCAAGTAGACTGTCAAAATAAAGGAAAGTTTTCAATGAAAGATTGAAATCTTTAATCAATTATAGATTAAAAACATATCTGGCTGAAACCTGAAATTTTACTATTCTGATAAATTGCAGCTCTTGGCATTCTGGATAAGCAAAACTATAAAATATTTATTTAATGAGTGATTAGGAAATTATCTGCCCAGGCAAAATTTTGTTAAAAGGCAAACTGGTTTGAAGCAGACTTTTAAAAGTACTTTTCCATTTTTCCATAAGACATTTGTTGCTGTTATTTTGAGTGGTGTTACTTATTTTTATGTTGGTGTCTGTTACTACTTGAATATATTTCGCTTTGGGGTACCCTGTCATCTTTTAAAGAGAAACTGTTATTTTCATAGTTGCAGAACTGAGGACAAGTAATTTTAAATTTAATTATATGTGGATAATTTTTAATCACATGTATAATCAGGCATCCAAATAAGAGCCTGTAAACGAAATCCAAAGTAGTATTTGCCTTTCTTTGTTAGACAGTGTAACTCAATTAAGGCTTGAATAATGGTTAAAGCAAGTTTTGCTTTATGTGCTACTATCCTTACATGATTGAGAGAGGATGCAAAGCTTCCTGTTCCAGGATAGCATAAATAATTTGGCGCAGGTCATGTAGTTAGAAGATGTAAAACATGCACTTAAAATACTTTGCAGTATCTAACTGCATCTACACTGAGCTATAGGGGAGTGTTGTAGCATGAACAAGCTTCTGAAAAGATGTCTTCTTTAGACTTTAATTTAGATTTCTCAGAGGGGATTGAATAACTTGAATATACTGTGTGCTGCCTTTCCCCAAGTTCTTAAAATAATTCTGTGTATATTAAATTCATTTTTATTAAATCTATAGGGATGCTTCATTTGGGAACTGCACGTACAATCTTACGATCTTGGACTGTTTACAGGGAATAAATAAGGTAACAACACTTTCCTTAGCAAAACAGATTTAAATTGACTTTTAAAATGTGAAGGAAAATACTGTTAAAATACATAAGAAAATCTGGTTTCAAAACAAAATGTATGTGAATGAGTAGTATGCTGTCATGAAGCCTAAGGTACTGAGGACTGTGTTTGAGTAGTGACAAGTGTAAGAAGGTGACACTTTTCCCTGGCTGGCCTGGCCTTTGACAGCTTTTTGAACTTCACCTTATGAATCGAAATGCACAGATGCACCAGGCCTGGCTGGGAGCAGTTCTTCACCGTGCAAGGCAGTGTGCTGGATCTCCTAACGGATCATTTATAACCATTGGTAAAAGGGAATAACAGAGGTTGATAAAGCCAAGAGAGACACCTAGGTATACTGTGATTTAATCTGAGCAGGTTTTGCACATACTTGGCTTCAGCTTTGCCTCAAAACACTTGGTTCAGTGTTTGACACTAATCTTTTCAGAATTAATTAGAAAGAATGAAAATTAACGTATCTTACTAGTGTTTTCATGTTTCCCTTTCAACATTTCCCTTTCCCCAGCTCCTGGGGAATATTAAGCTCCAATATTGCTTTTTAAAAAATGTTATGTCATGTCTGAATTGGCAACCTTGTGTTTATAGTATATAATTAATTCTGTAAGCAAAGATTAAATTTTCTTCATTGTTTCCCAGTGATCTTGATGAAGGTAGCGGACTATATGAACAGTTCTGTACAGACACTTACTTGGAATTCTTAAAAGTATGGCAAAACAAGTGTTTCTTAAAAATTGATAGAAGAGAGATCAAGCTTAATATTTTTAGTTCTGTGGGGGTGGGAAAGGAGCTGTCAGTTAACAGCAAGACTCTAATTTGTGTGGCATTCTACAGATCCTGAAGCTTTGTGAAGCAGTCAGTGCAGTCACTGTAATTTATCTGCAACAAACATGTCAAAAGGACTTTGAGAATCAGTTTTTTTTCCGTTGTTCCCATAAGTTGATTATTGAATTTTTGTCTAGTTCACCTACAGAGGTAAAAACACTTTGAGCAGAAACTGTTTGCCTTACTCTAAAATAAAATCATAGTCTGCCTGGGTAGGTTTGGTGTTTGCATGCACATATATCATATACACGTAATTCAGGGAGCCTACAAATTCTGGGCTGCATCTTAAGTGAAATACGTTTTTCAAAATCAGCTGTTCAGACAAACCTCTTTGTATCTTAGATTTCATGGCAGGTCCAATCATTGAGCCTATGTTGTCGATACAAAGCTATTTTTGTTTTGTCTTAAAAAAGGTGCTCTATATATAGCAAAAAATGACAGACTGATAATTACTGATTTTGAAATCATAGATCTTTGGTGTGTTTTATATCACACCTTAATCCCAGAACGTTGTGTAATGTCTATACTTCTCAGAATGTAGTAGATTCAGTATAAATATATGCTGCAGAACTGTTTTCCACCTATTCCTTGGAAGAAATTTGGGCTATATATTTCTTATTCATAGAATTGTTTTTAATATGGTATTGTATACAAATCTTTAGTACAAAATTTGCGTATTTAATAATAGTACAGTAATCAAATACAAAGCTTGACGTCTTTCAATCCTTTAATAAATACTAATGTAGTCTAGTGAACTTCATTCTATCAGTGGAATGTATATTAAAAACAAATCATAAAATACTGGTTATACACAGTACTGTATTCTATATATGCCATTTTGCCTGCATATTATGATGATAAAATCAGTGTCATATTACGTATAGAAAAGCAATAAACTCTTAATGTTCTATATTTCATTATGTCCAACTGCATGAAAATGTACTCAGCATAGAAATCATTGAATGACTGCATGACAAAAAGGGAATTGTTTTTTAATTTGTCATCTGCCTTACAGAAAAAAAACCATTCATAGTGAGGTGGGGAGAATCAATTTTGTAATTTAAGTGATATGAAACAAGCTTATGTCCCATCGTAATGCCTTTGAAGGGGAAATAATAAGGCTGACATGCATCAGTGACGTTGTTGGAGTTTTTGTTGTCTGTGTTGTTAATCTGTTCAAAATGTGGTGTTGTCTTAACATAGAGGCTTCCATAAGCCAAAATCACAAACATTTAGTTATTTAGTTTTGATTCGCAAAAATAGTATTATAAAATGAGATTATATAGCATATTTCAGAATAAACTGACACGTTGTTGCCTTTTAGGCCTTGCAGCATGGATTTTTTGACTTTAAGACATTTGATGTGGATGAATATGAACACTATGAGGTTTGTACATTTAATAATGAGTTGAATGTGTTTGATTTACCTAAAATAAGTTAGAATATATGGTATCCCACAACTTAAAATGTATTGGAAACACATTTTAATTCAAACAAAACCCAGTGTTCATATGTAAGGTATGTACATCCAAACCTGTATGCTGTATGTGAAATACATGCAGGATGAATATCCTTGCAATTTTAGTGCGTCACATCATTAGTCTACTGTTTTCTCACAGCCTTTCTGGCTTCTGGAACTTCCCTTCCCTCAGGATACAATCCAAGGTCTCTCAGCTGACCCACAGAAGCTGTGTTTTCTTTCAACAGTTGTTGAGGTGCTTCTTGAGATGCTATTAGTCCCACGTATATCATACATCTTTTATAGCCACTAGATTAAGCACATTTTGGACTTTTTTAGTGAGGATGCATTATATGGGGAGTCCAGTAATGAAAATACATCCAAAAATATTTCCCTAATGAAATCCCAGAAAGCTAACACGTCATTCATTGTTCTGCCAGCCTTCTTACTATTTTGTTTTACGAACAAGAAGATACAGGTGACTCTCTACATGTCTGAAATACGTACAGCTATGGGAAATGTTTCATAAATGTTGAAGAAAGAAGGTGAAGTCAGGAGAGGAATAAAGAGTTAAAAACCTTAATTTACAACACAAATCTAGACAGCAGATGTCAGCTGCAATAGGCACACTATAACATATAGCTACTTAAAAGCATTTGTAGAAGGATTTCTTTATACTGTAATGTTCCATAATTATTTGATTGAGAAATTGGCATAGCCTTTGCTGAATTACCAAAATTAAATGAACAGTAACTAAAATTTAAAGTATGAAATTGCTACTTTTTTTGCTTACTCTGTATTCAAAAGGAAAATATATGTTATAAAAACAAATGATGGTTGGGAATTCTTAGGAATCTGTTTCTATAGTAGGACTTAATCTGCTTGAAAAAAGTATTAAAAAAATTGACTATCCCATTATCTTGTTTAATGCTTAACATTATTTTAGTTTGTGAAAAGTATGTATATGTGAATGACGTTTAAAGTATGCTGCCCCCTGTCTGAGTTTAAGAAGCAAGAACTTGGAATCATCTTTAATTTTTTGTCCATTTTTTGGTATGTCTTCTATTATTTTATGCATTGTGGTCAGTTTTGTATGTTTAGATATGTCTTGTGCTATATTTCTAAAGCTTTGAATGTTCCAAGTTTTTTCTGTTAGGTCTTCAAATGTGTAGTTACATGGAGAGAAGTTGCATAAGATTTAAAGGGAGCAGGCTAAAGGAAATTCTTTTTCATGTTTGTAGTTCTTTGATCTTACTACATTATCAAGACAGCAAATTCCCCTTTTGTTGGACTAGATATTAAATACTCAAGTTCTCTTTTTTATTTGAAAATAATAATGTTGTTTGCATGTATAATAATGTTATTGTATTAAGTATATATATGCACATATATATTTGTAGTTCAGATTTATTAAAATCTAAATTTTTCATAATAACTCATGCAACTATAAAGAACTACTTAATTCACAAATAAAACTAGTAATACAACCATAAAAATACTCTTTATTTATTGAACAGGACTTCTTCCTTAAAGGGGGTAGAGGTGCTACAGTGTTGAGATTGCAGTCAGGGAAACAAATTTGGCCGGGTGAGGGATCCTGACTTGGCAGTAAGATCGGTTCACTAGTCCTTACGCAACCTTGTTAACTTGCAGTTTCCACTGTGTGAGGACATTTAGAGCAAGCCTAATGGGTTTAGCTAAGCAAACGGTTGGTGAATTGATTGCAGTAATGTCCATTATCAGAATTTTTCACTCATTAGGATGTTTTAATTTGCTGAGAGATAAAAACACGAGCTTAATAATGCACTTGAACCGAGTGCCGTGTCCTTAAAAGTCATGCTGAGAATAACTGCATTGCCAATTTAATAATAAATTAAATTAAATTAATTTAATTTCAATTAAAAAAAAAAGGCAGTTTTGAAATTCAGTTATGTATTTCCAAAATTTCACACTTTGAAAGTTTTTTTTCATTTAGTCTTTTTATTTGATTTATACTTCTAGGATTACTGGCTCATCAGAGCTTATACCAATATGTAAACTTAAGTTTCTACAGGGAAAGAATAATTGTTTTTGAAGGCTAACTGGTTTTTAATTTCTTTTCTGTGCATTTGGTTTTTTAGCCAATGCCTTACAGGGAAGTGTTTTTCCATATTCTTTGATTAAAACATACTAGAAAGATGGTGTTTGTCAGTGTTGTTAAAAGTAAGTGTCTAAAAACACTGAACCCTCAAAGGGAGAAATATCTTAGGTATAGGATCTTTCTGCTTTTATTGGAAAACTTCAGAAAATTTTTTGGGTTTTATTTTTTGAGAGATTTCTGAGAAGCAGCTTTATGGTTAGTTAGCTTGTCTTGTATAGGTAAGCTAGCTAATTACACTTGAAGTGTTTTGTTTTAATGCAACAAGAACATAGTAAAAAGTAAAATGAAATCTTGAGTACTTTTTTTAAACTTGTATGTACAGATATAAAATGTTTTTCTCTTTCTCGTCTGAAATTTTTTTAGCGAGTGGAAAATGGTGACTTCAACTGGATTGTTCCAGGAAAATTTTTGGCATTTAGTGGCCCGCACCCAAAAAGCAAACTTGAAAATGGTATGGTGAATATTTTGATGCTCTTCTATGATCTTAGTTTTTCCAGCATGTTAAAAAATCACAGCAAATGAGCAGAAGATAATAGAGGTTTATAGATTAATTTTCATCTTCAGAAATAATCATACAGTGAACATTTTATATATGATCATAGAAATTCATTCCAAAGGTTTTGGAATTCTTCTTTGCTAGAAGAATGCTAATTCTTCTAACAGTTAGTGACTTTCATTCAGTGACAAAGTGCCTGAGAAATTCAGGTCCCTTACATTTCTCCTGGCACAGTAAGTATGCAAAATTAAAGGTGAGTTGCATTAAGCAGAGGAGACTGTATTAAGAGTTTTGTAACAAAGGCCAGGAAAGACTTTAAAAAGAAGCTTGCCTTTACTACTGAGTATTCTTGGGATAATGGGAAGAACCTATGTGATTCTAATGGTATAAAAAAGAGAAACTTGACTGACAGAGTAGTAGAGATCTGGTCCAGCTAAAAGGAAAATCAGTCACTTAAAAACCATGATCAGGTTTTGCTGATTTTCATCTTATTCTTTGTGCCATGTCATTTCGTTTATGTAAGCGTGTTTTCTGAATATCTACCTTGTTTTTTTTCTCCCCCATGTCTGGTCTCCCATGTTTCTGTTATGACTGGAATGCTGTTAATTACATAGTGTCCACTGAAGATTTACAAAATCCAAGAGAAAATATTTAGATTGATTTGAATTTCTTCCTTGATCACAGTTACTGTCCCTTCTTGCAGAAATTTTTTAAAAATTACTTAAATTGTTGATGGAATTTGGAAAAGCTGTGTTTTATTTTTAACATGTATATAACTGAAAAGTACTAAATTAACACTAGTGCTTAAAATCCAGTTGTGAGGCTGCAAATAAGCCTCACCCAGGTGAGTGTTAAGTACACATTACAAAGCTACATTTTTCTCATTATGTTGTGACTCTAATTGCATTTACTAATGCATGTATGACTTGTGGAAATGACCTATGTTTTGTGAGGAAGCTTTTGGACTTTATTTGAACAGGAATAAAAATTCAGGAGATAAACCAGTGAATTTACTAAATGACAGACCTACTGATTTTTTTGTGGTAGCCATGTAGTTCTGATATTTTGTTTATAAGACTTAATTGCTCATCGAAAAGAATAAACTGCATTTTACATACATCCATCCTACAGACATGTGCATGTGCACACTCTCCCTCACACTCTCATCGACAGAGAACATCTATTTGGTCAAAGTGTCCTAAACAGTTGTGGTGTGGTTGTTTTTTGACCTCCCTCCCTGTCTCACCATCTTCATCTAGAGGATCCTTTTATCTCTCCACTGAATCAAGGCGCTGAAGCTTTTTCAAATCACAGTGGAGCCAAACTATTTCTGCTACTACAGTTCAAGCATGTTCTTATTCTTTGATCTGCAGCTGGACTATAGATGAACAGCTGTTCTGAAATGCTGAGTTCATATATGTGCCTAGCCTTATGTATAAAACCGTACTTCTAGAGAGGAATGGAGCATTTTGTGAACCAATTTTTATATTACTTAACATGTTTGTTCTGAATAAAATATTAAAGCATTTTCAGTATTAGCATGTTTATAATTCAGAAAAAATTTTGGGCACAATTTTGGTTAGTAGGACTTTGAACTTAGTCTGTGACATTAAATGATTGTTCCTTTATTTTTTTTTGTAGGTTATCCTCTTCATGCACCTGAAGCCTACTTTCCCTATTTCAAGAAACATAATATCACATCAATCATTAGACTAAACAAAAAAATTTATGAGGCAAAGCGCTTTACTGATGCTGGTTTTGAGCATTTTGACTTGTTCTTCATAGATGGAAGCACACCAAGTGACAGTATAGTTCAGAGGTTCCTGAACATCTGTGAAAATGCCGACGGTGCTATTGCTGTGCACTGTAAAGGTACATGCGCTTACTTATTTTTCAGACTGAAGTTCAAAATAAGTATAAATCCATAGAGTTTATTCCAGAAATGAAGCATTTGAAAAATAACTCTTTCTGGTTGTGAAAGTAATAATTTCTTTATGATACTTGACTAAATATGCTACAAATATTTGTTATTTTCATGTGCATATTAAGTTCTTTCATCCTACACTACTGCTTACAGTAACTAACAATGTGGTGTTCATTGTTCTGTTTTTTCTCAGTATCATTTGAAAGCATGAGTTTTAGTTGATGGAGATTTCTTTTGCATTACGCTTTCACAGCATTATGATAATTGACTAGGAAATGCAAAAAAATGAAAGGTTTTCTTTGTGCTTTTGGACAGTTCTGCATTTTTCTGTGGAGCATGACTTCCACATTTTAAGTTAATGTGAGTTATTGTGATGCCAGCATTTCAAACCAGCCTATTTCAGCAAATCAGCCAGAAATACACAAAACATGCTTAGACAAGAACAATTAACGAAAGCTTTGAAGAGTTTGGCTTGATTTATGTTTAGAGTTGTGTAACGACATTGTGGAGACGAATGTCTTGCCGGTCTGAAACAAGAATAGTGCTATTCATTCATAATTTTTCCATGAACAATAAAAACGCATGTCAAAGATAAATAAGTTTATTTGCTAACAAGTTGTTACCATGACTAGAACCCAGAATTTCTGGCAATAATAAGATGGACATCTGCTAATTGGTTAAATGAGAGTATAAGTTATTGATTAGCAGGAGTAGATTGTTATTCTCCAGACTTAGTTGCTAAAGGAAGACAATATACTTTTCTAGTGACTTAGATATGCACTTGCTAAACTGACATATTTTTGGTCTTTCATCTGATCATTTAATAAGCAAACCAACAATCCTATTCTTAGGCTTTTTACATCCTTCTAAATATGCCTATACAAAGTTAAATCAACAGTTAACTCAGACTTAATGTATTGTTGATAGTTTTCGTGTACTCTTATTGCAGAAGCTGCACAGCTTCCACACTAGAAATTGCCTGTCCCAGAACTTATAGAATGGTTTAATGCAAAGAGTTGCTATGGAAAGTTTATATGTTAGCAGGAACTACTGCTATTACCTGCCATTTTCAGAGAGTGTTTTCTTATTCAGATGTATGTTTAGTATAGTATGGCTCTTTGTTATGTATTTGCATATTTTATTCCTTTTGCATTTAAAAAAAAACCCACAATACCAAAATCCCCAGCCCCAAACTCTCTCTCTAACAATACTTCCCCTTTTTAAATGATTTTTCTGAGCTAGTCCTCCAGTATACGGTTATGGAATCTCACTATTTGTGAACTTCTACTTTCATGTTTTCACCGGAGTCATCTTAACTGTCCAAAAAGTCACAGCATGATTTAGTTGTTGGTTAAATTTAAAGAGCTTGTAGTTGTTTATAGAATTGTCAGCAGGGATGTCTGGCTGCTTAGAAAGTTTCCATTTAGATAGCTGTTGGTGCATAAGCAATAGTTGGCCACCAGGAAACTGTATATTGCAAATATTGTGTTTGCAGGAAAATAAGCTTTAAATGGGGAGATACTGACTTACAGGTAGATAAGACACAGGGCTACAAAGAGGTTAGTTCTTACTCTATAGTTAGAGATTTGTCTGATAGTATAAAAGCTAATTTTTCTGTCTCTATTCTCCCCTTAAAACAAAGATTAGTTTGTGATTTGGGGGGCAATGGGTTAAATTATTTTAAGCTATTGATATATAAAATTATATGCGGGTCAACATTCATTGCTGTTTATACAAATAGCAGTGAATAGTTTTATAGATTGGTTTCACAACAAAACTCATCCAAAAAGAAAAAGCCACTGCCTGAGAAGACACATGACGCTATCTGTTGTGATGTGCATATGCATTTGCATGTATTTGAACCTTGATTTGTAAAGTCTGTGTTGGCACCTCAAAGGTACTTTGATTTTGTTTTTTTACGGGTTTTATAAATATGGAATTTGCATCTAGCTTAGTCATGGCTTTTTTTAAAATATCAGCCTTTTTTTAAAAAAAAAAGTAGTTTAGAGTTGTACAAGTGCCAAGAGTGATTGCTGTTGCATGCATTCTTAAACGCTGTTAACTTTTTATAAATATGATATATTTGTTCTTATATCTACAGCATTGAAATCCAATTATATGATAAACGGGATACTGAATTGGAAATTACTTCTTCAAACATTAAGGTGGTGGATAACATTGCAAAGAAATCTTTTAATATCCTATACTTTAATTTGACAATTATGAAATGCTTATGACTTTGTATGTGAATATTGATATTTTTGTTTCTGTAGCTGGTCTGGGGAGAACAGGAACACTAATTGCCTGTTATATAATGAAGCACTACAAGTTCACACATGCTGAAGCTATTGCTTGGATAAGAATATGTCGACCAGGCTCAATTATAGGACCCCAGCAACATTTCTTGGAAGAGTATGTATGCTTTCTTTGCTACTAAGAATCAACTGCTTCTCTACATTCTTATCCATCTTGCACTACGTATAGCATCTACTTTCTGTCTACTTACATCGTGTACATTACTGCCTGTTGCGATATATTTAAGGTCAGTTAATTTGGGATTGAAATCAAACTTCTCAGTAACAATTGTCTTCTCTGGAGTGCTATGCATTTTGTCATCTTAAGGGGCAGAGAGTCTCAAGACTCTGCATGTTTGTGTTCTGGGGCATTTAGGATTTAAATGTGTTGGAAGTATAAAGTCCAGATGTTGACAAAAGATTCAATCAACAAAAAGGATTTATTAAAATATTAACGTAAAACTGATAGACTTTATATATAGCTTATGATGACACTTAAAATGAATCTTACAATGGTATAATTGATATGTTTTTTCCTTTGTTGTAACTAAAGATCATAGTAGTACATCGTGGACAACTTAATCTCTGTCAGATTCCAAGCAGAATGTATGAAGCATTTCTGATTTGAAGCTAATACTCGTTAGCAAAAGAAACATGTGGTTTTAATACAGCTCCTTCTCAAAATTGACTGTATACTTGGATTGAGAACATTTCTTGTAGAGAGAATTTGAACGGGTGATTCAGGGTTTGATCCTGACTGGATATGAACGACAAAATTGCACTGGCTTCAGTGATGGAGACATTAAGTTTCACTTCATAATGGTTTCTACATTGTGTGTTTACTCTTATAGTGGTTACACTGATAGTTTGAGTTGATACCATAATGATATTTGGTTGGAGGTGTTTTCGCTGTTATGAGAAAAAACATTTTGAGAAAATCCACCACAAATTTGTCTCTTTTTGGGGAAAAAAGAGAATGCAACAGCTCTGCTAGATACTGTGTAAATAACCATAAAACATGCACTGAACTTGCATCTTAAAATCCATATGATATCAGAGAGAAAGGAGTATTACTGTAATTCATAGGAGAAATTGAGCATGAATGAGCATTCCTATTTATTTTCCAGTGCAACCAAATGGGCATTCCTTTATTTGAGAGGTGGGCCGCCATTACTCAAAATACTGTGAATCACAAACTTTCACAAACCACAAGTGCTCACTGAAGGCAGATTGAACTTCTCCACACCATGCTGATGCTTGGATGATGCGCAGTTAAAAATAACTTCCACAATAGCACAAAATTGAGAGAAAGATAGTACGTAGTGTGACTAGTAAGTGCTGTTTACTTGAAGGATAGAAAAAACAGGGTCCATGTCTTTTCTGCAGTGGCATATAAATATTTAGTTTGATTTTTATAGATAGGCAAAGATACTTCAGAGGTTTTTTTCATTCATACCTACGTAATTCATAGCTAAGAGCTGTAGTATTGTTCACTAAGAATTTTCTGTTGTCCTAATGGCAATAGATACCTGTTTTGACAATCGGACAAAATTCAAGCAGTGTCACCAGTGGTGTAAAAAAGAGATTGAGAAAGGAGGAGCTAAAATTAGTTGCATCATTCTAATATAAAATATCTTGCCCTCAGGGCTGCAAAGTTGCATCTGACAAACGGGTAGCATCTTGCAACTTTGATCTCCCAACCTTCACAGATGTCAAAGCTTCTTCTCTTAGGTTCTTTGAGGTTTAATAAGGGAGGTTTGAGTAGTATTTTTATAGAGACCCTCCCACCCAAGTATGTATCAAATCAGATTGTTACTGTGAATGTGATTAATCTTGAAATATTTCAGAGGTATTTAAATTCAAGCATGTTTTCTAGGCTTCTTCTGTTAGGTGGAATAAGTGGCACTCCTACCCCACTCCTTCCTTCTCTCTTCTCTTGATGTTTTCTTGGGATGTAGTGGAATTTTTGTGGAAGTGCTTACCTTTCCCAGTTACAATTGAGCAAGTTTAGGCAGTTGGCTCAGACTACATGGCTCTTAAGCGTTGCTGTAATATTTTTATTTTCAAACAAAGAAAAGTTTCCAGTGAAAGTATATTTTAACTTAATTCCTTGTTCTCTTTTTTGCTGTTCAGCATAGGAATTTAATTTTGTTACAATAATATGTAATAGCATCTCAGTTCTTGGATGGAACTAGCGTGACAGGTACCTATTCAGCAAACTTCCTTATTGAGGAATAATGCAGTCCCATCAACAAAAGCCTGCTTAGCCCATGCACAGTGTAGCAATTAAATTGTATTTTTTTTACCACTTGTTTGAAAGATATAATCTGTTATATTCTGAGAACTGATACTAGAGTCTTGTTCAGCTTTACATGACTATGGCCACTTCCACTGTGCACAGGTCAGCTGTAGTTTTACTGCACAATATCTGTATGTATAAAACTCATGCTAATAAGAAGTTGGAAAGTGCTGCATCATCATTTATTCTTCACATTACGTATATAAAAGCATTATTTCATATTAATTTTAAAGTTATGTTTAAAAGCCTTTAAAATACCATTACAAATTCCTGTGTAGTTAATCTATTTTCCCAGGAGGATTTTTGTAAAATGAAGTCTTTAGTACCTGTAATATTTCTGTGATGGCTACAGATTTGTTTGATGATTCTAAGGTTTGTTGTTAACCATTGAAAATCATGAGGTGGGGTTTCTTTGTGATAGAAATTAGAATTGTTTTTTTTCCAGATGAAGATGTACAGAAGATTCAAATATTTGCAATCTGTAAGAGCAGCATGTTTTCATATTGTTTCTTATGTGTATGCAAATTTGTTGATATGAATTGATTTGGTTTTCTATCCTAAAGGAAGCAAGCAATGTTATGGCTGGGGGGGGGGCCCTTCCGATCACAACAGAAAGCTGATGGAAACATTAACAGAGTTCTTTGTGGCTTGAATGACATTTCAATCAGTGGTAGCTTGAATAAAGTGCAAGACTTGGATCAATACAGGGAGGTAAGAGTTCATAGAAAAAGTTTCAAACAAGCAGAGATGAAGCTGATATTTTATTAACTACCTATAGATCTTTTTAGTTTTGGTTTGTTTTTTTTTTTAGGCTTGTATTAGTACTAGATTGCTTTTTTCACAGCTAAATTTTTTTAATAGGTCATAATTAGAACAAATCTCCACTTTTTCAAAAAAAACACCTTAGATTATATTTAAAACTGTTGTCATTTTGAAAACTTCAAATGTTTTGCATTATTTCAAGTCATTCTTTCAAGGTTTTCAGTTGTTTATTGGAGAACAGAGGAGGAAAAAAAAAACCAAAACATTTTTCCTCCTGGAAATCTATTCCAAGTTTCCAGCTAATAATGCATGAGTGTATAGATGTACATCTCTATCCAGTATTATGGATTACTGATGTGATGTGTACATTTAGGGTAAGGACTCGGCAATTATTTATTGGAAGCATAGGCATTAAGTGTGAACTAAAGTGAACATACTTCTACTTCTGGACTAGTAAAATCTTAAACTGTAGTTTCCTACAGTATCTGTGAGAAGCAGTTTAAAGGAACTAGGCATTTGATTAATCATGTCTTAACTCTATAATAACTAAAGAGCTTTTATGTTGATGGTGGAATCCTTTACTTGATGTAAAAGACCAGGATGTAGTGGGCACCTTCATCAGACAGATGATTATTTTAATTTATACTAATAACTATCATGTGATCTATCATAATCTGGAAAAGCACCTTGAATATATTTCTGTAAAGGTACTATTTAACTTTTGGAAGTTCAATTTGTGGCTTAGAATACGTAAAGTTAAATACCTAGACTACCTGGAGAATGTAACACTGTGTAGAGATGATCTTGTATGCCTAATGAAAAGAGCTGGCACATAGCCATATGGGTAAAAGTAATCTGTTTGAATCCAAGCTACTACTACAACTTTACTGCTTCCAGAATTCAAGGCAACTTACTTGCAGGTAACTCAACTACCTGTACACTGCATAGCAGCTTATGTATCGATTCACAATATAAATTCACAGTGCTGCTTTTTTCTACTATAACACTCCATGTAATATGTATATTTCATTTTTTCACAGATGTCATCTTAAAGCTGTTTAACACGCAGTTTTCAAAACATTTAATTTATCTCTTTGGATATTTGGTTATATTTCAAGAGCCCATTATACTAGACTCTCTAGAAGCTCGAAACAAAGTAATGTTCCCACTCTCAAAAATGCCTACGGTCTAAGAATCGGAGGACAGAACAGCTACATGCAATAACTGTTAGGCAGGTAAAAGACAGTGAAACAAAATTTATCAGCATTGGGGCTGAACTATAGGTAACGATGGCATAGCATATAATCTTCAGTGAAGTCTAGCTAAAATGTTTCTATTTTCCTATAATTAATGCAACACTTGGACCATCACATCATTTTATTAACTTCCATTGCATTACTTTTGTCAATCTTTCATCTTCGTTAATGGCAGAAACGATTGTTCTGTTTTATGCAGAGCAATGAGGTCACTTGGGCACAAATAGGAACTACAGTAATACAAACACTTGATCTGAAGTCAAATGAAGCATAGTTGGTATAAGTTTTTTTTAATTTGGCAATTAAAAAAATCGCAGTTCTCTTGCTTTGTGGAACTTTTATATTTCTCTGCTACTGTCTCTACTTAATACTTGGCTCTTAGAAAAGTATTTTGAGATCTGTGAGAAATTGTTAATAGGCATTTAAAGTGTTGGCATATATTTTTAATATTTCTTAGAGTTTATAATATTTTTCTAAAGCTAGAAGAAGTAGGATAAAACTCTGAAATCTGTTCATCCTATATTACTTATTACGTTCTCATAGGGAAATTTTTTCAAAATTGTGTTTTTTTCCAGAGGTCATGAGAACGTTTTATTAAAAAAAAAAAAAATTTAGGAAAGTTGATTTTTAGCTCCTCTTGCAAGACACACAACTTAATCTAAATTTCTTCCTCATCTTGTGCATATCACAAAACTGTGTTACTGCTTTCCTTCCACATTGACAAAAACTTTAAAAATAGTTATGGAGGAAGGAGTTGGAGTTTAAGTTGTATAAAAACAGACTTCTTTGAAGTAAATACATACTGGTGTAAGACTCAAGCATCCTGAACTGGCTTGGAAGTCAGATTCTGCAAAAAGCCTCTGCGAATGTGCATTTGTACAGTGACACATTGAATTTACTGGAACTATGCAAAGACAGAGTAGTGCTCCATGTATGCACAATGCTGTAGATTGGCCTTTAAAATTATAATCTTTGCGAAGCAGATGTTCGATGCTTTGAAGCTACAGTACTCTTAAGGATTTCATATATTTCCTTGCTTGCATACTTTGTTTCCCAGAATGATTTTGAAGACAAAGCAGATGTGGAAACTCAGAATGGCATGACGCAGGGAGATAAGCTTAATGCCTTAAAAAGTCGGAGACGGCCATGTTCTGCTACAACTGGAGCTCTGAGGTAATTAATTAATTCTGAGGTCATTTGCAATTTTAAATTATCTGTGCTATCAGATCTTTATAGCAAGTACGTGGCCTTGTTTAGGCAGTGCTACTAGTTGTACCACTTTCTGTGGTGGAACTTCTCTAGGTATATATCTATTAGATGCTGAGTTAGTTTATTAATTTGTTTTGTTTTGTTTTCCTTTGTCTCCCTGTTCAGGTTACCTACTTATTATGTACCAGTAAAACACAAAGTCGAAAAATATTTCAAAACCTTCAAATTTATGTCTAACATTTTACAACTTATGTCTCAAACAAAATATTCGTCAATGAACCTAGCTGTCTTTCTAGAATTATTTTTCTGTACTTCCATAAATTTTGAATTTTTCAGAACCAGTTAAAAAATGAAGTTTAGAAGTAAACCTGCAGTACCTCTCTGTTGCTTAACTGTAAATTAAAATAATGATTGTCAATAATTCTTAATTCTTGTTAGTCTTGTACTTTAAAGCCTGTATGAGACATGCAAGTATGCTTTGGGGGAGAGGAAAGGCTTTTTATCCTCTGAAAAACATTGCTGCTTTGTTTTCTTTAGGCTGCAAGACATGAAACTGCACACCAGGTCAATATCACAACCTTTCAGGTATTACCTTCAAAGTTATGGTTATAAATGGATACCACTCAGGTCTTAAATTTTTGGCATTTTAAATTATACTTACCTCATAAATTAATGAGCAATTTCAGACTTCTGAGAAGTGGCAGGTAGCAAACTTTTCTAAACACCTGCAAATGGAGGAGAGTGGAAAATCTAATGGAGAGAAGGGTACAGGTCTACTTCAGGGATACTTTGAATTTCTTCTTAATAAATAATTAGCACATACAAGTAACTTCCTGAGTCACATTTTCTAGTAGCTATGCTGTTATGCAATGAAGCATGACTAATTAACTCACCACCACTGTATCTCTGTATTAAATATTTGTTTCAAAAGCCTAAATTGGCTACATACTGCTACGTATGACAATTTTTGGCCTGTGTGTGTTAGTAAATGAACTAGAGGTATTGTGTAGTGGATACAATCAGTACTTTTTTTTAGAAGATGTACCAGATTAATATGGAGTTTTAGTACCTTTTCATATTTTAATACAGGGTCCTCACTGTACACTTTTATTACATGCTTTGTTCAGAACTTTCTGTGGAGCAAATAAAGCCAATAGTTTCTTCTCGTTTTCTAAATATTTATTTCATTTATGACCTGTACTAATCTCAAATCAGTACTGACAGTGCCTCCCAAAAGAAAAGAAAACGTAAAGTGAAAATCAACTTAATCTTGAGAGTTATAGGAATGACAGTCTTTTGTTTTTGTAGCCATTGCCTCCTGCACCCTGTTACATCTAAAATGCAACATGTAAGACAAAACATGTCATCATAAAGCATTAATATTGAAAAGAACACATAATCTTCAGTTTTGCAACAACCTGGATTTTGGAAATCAATTGCTCCAGAGGTCTAACCTTGGAGATGTCTGTTTACCCTTTCTTGGTGTGGAATTGAAGCTATTTCTGTTCAATGTCATTCCTTCTGTGCTTGTAGCTTGTACCTAAGGCTTTTAATCCTTTACGAGCTGATGGTGATGATTTCTCCTGGTCTAAGGATGGAGAAAATTCCATGCTACTGTGAGGCTATTTGTTTATTAGCTTTTAATAAACTAATATGGACAGCTATAATGCTAACATTTTTGAGTACTTCAGTGTACCATACTTACAGCTCATTATCAAAATATGAAGAATTTGGCCATTAAGAGTCCTACCCTAGAAGGAGCTGTATGTTCTGTGCAACTTGGTAAAAATGTTCTTGCTGTCATTTGGAAACGATGTTCTTCTCATGAAAGCTATAGCGGTGTTTTTTTCTACTCGTACTTGTGTTATAGGCACAAAATGTTCTTTCTCAAATTTACAATATTTAATATTTATAATCAAATTTACAATAAATGTGATACAAAATGGACACTTAACCTTCAAAAATTATTACAGCAAAAAGTAGCCTATAACTATATAATATGGTACAACAGGGAAAAAACTTGGGAGTGGGATATTTGAAAAGTTTTTTTGAAAAGATATTTGAAAACAGGTGAAGTGTTGAGTTTTTGCTGTTGAGTTCTCAGTACTTAGACTTGAGAATTCCCACTTTTTAAAATACCAGACTTATGTATTGAAAGACTGTATGTGCTTAAGATGTATATTTCAATTACAAAAATGTTGCTTTTCACTAAACCTCTGCACTCCTTTTAGACTGAATACTTCAGGTAGCACAGAAGGATCCATGTCTCCTCTGAAGGCCTCCAAAGTGACAGCGGTTAATTCACCATCTGCAGAAAGAATAAGCAGAATTCCCACATCCTCAGGCTCTAACCTTAAAAGGTTTTTTTTCTTCTTCTCATTTTGGTACAAAAACTTACTGTACACCACAATGGTTTTCAGAACGTATGCAGTCTATGAAGCGCTTGCTGTTCTTGGGTGTAAGAAGGCTTAAATTTACTTAAAGTAATTTGCCGTTCCACTATTCAGACTTTAGTTGTCTGCAGATATTAAAAAAAAAAAAAAAAAAAAACACAAAAACAACACCCAAAACTTAGACTTCTGGTATGAGAGTTTTGGTGGGATTATATCAAATCAGAAACAGTATTATGTTGCTCAGATTTTGGGGTTTTTTTTACTCATCTGAGTTTATGGAAGTTTTGCAAGTATTCCTGCAAGTTTATATACTATTAATCTCAGAAGAATACTGAGTGGTAATTAATATTTTTATGAACTCTTGATTTATTGCTGTTTAATTCCATTATTACTATTGTACTAAGTAATTATGGATGTTAAATGAAATTTAGAATGATAAATTTTTTAGTAATTTATGGGCACAAATATTTACTTGAAGAAAAACACTTAGATATTTCAGGACATCTTATTTTTATTCTCAAATTTTATCAAATTACTTCTTGGTTACTTGAAGACTTGTAGTATATTACTGGTTTCAAGAAACAGAAAAGGAGTTCTTAAACTGTTACGTGTAGAGAAAGTACTTGAATGTAGATCAGCCACTTCCTAAACCTTTTAACACCATGTCATGCATGTGCATATGGTTTGACAGAGGTGAAAGCTGGCCATGGTAGTGCTTGAGTAAAAAAAGTTTGGGAACTCCTGACAAAGAATTCTGGTTTACATTATTTGAGAGGTAGAATATGAACGTGTGTGCAAACACAAAATTATTTCAAAATCATCTATGTCGTTCACCTAATATCTTCTGAATTGTCTGTTATTTTTTTTATATATCTGTACATACCTTGTGTGTATTTTTTTCCCCCGCATGTGTTTTCCATTCAGCATTTCCATAAGCTCCAGACTAGCCAGTTCTCTAGGGAACCTGTATGCTGCTTCAGATGATGATGAGAGCAAAATGACATCATGGTCCTCTAGGACAGGTTTTTGTGTAAACCAAAGCTCCAGGCACTTGAATGGCAGCTTGCAGCTGCCTCATAGAAATAACCATGAACTGAACAACAACTTATACAACAGAAACAGCAGTAGTGGCAACAACCTGAGCAACCAAACCAGTTTTAACAGCGCTGTGACAGATGAGTTCGCATCAACCTTCCTTTATGGGCCTTACAACTCCTCCACCACGATCCAAGAGTCAATAAATTCCTGTAAGTTCATAGTCACACCTGCACTTTCAGGCATCTTACCGATGCCTGTCTGTCTTGCTTCTGTGAGCAAAGCTGTCACAAAAAAATCTTAACCCAGTATAATTTTCTGACTTCCTTTAATGTTTCTGAACAGCACCTTTGTCTGTTACCTTTTTTGGTTTTTTTTCTATCTCTTTCAAGCATCTAGATAATGGGGGGTTCATGAAAATAAATCACGCCTGAACTTAAGCTAACACCTTTTCTGTTACCTTTATGGACCTTCGTACCCATACTAAATGGAAGGTACAACATTCTTAAAGATGGGGCTCATTTGAAAGATGAGTCCACTTGACTTGAAACCTAGTCCTTTTCTAACATCAAATGTGAAAAGTATTTTAGAGCACAATATTTCTGATGGTCTCACCATTTCAACTGTCATTCTTCAACTTTGCTGCCTTGGCCTTAACTTGGTGTCCTTCTTCTGTGTAAAGGGGTCTGTATAAAGAGGATGCACAGATAAATTAATGCAACTTGGAAGTGACTCTATACAAAATGAAAAGAGAGACTAGAGAAACTTCAGGTATGAAATCAGAAATATCTTCAGCTATTTTAAGGAAAAAATAAACATATTTACTATTATAAATCTAAAGCCAATTTAACATATCTGATTTCCAAAGATTCAATATCCTACTAATTATAAAAATTAGTGCAGTGTTTTTAACTGGATATATTATATTCAATTAATTCAACCTTTGAGCCTCTGTTTAGTAGTACTGACACTTCAGATCTTTGGGGTTTTAGCTACTGGAAATAACATTACCTTCATATAAAGTTAACTTCAGAATATTACACCTTTCTTTTCTGTTTCCTTACCATGGATAAACTGCTTAAGTATAGAGTAAGTTTTAGTGTTATACCTGCTATTGTTTTTGAGTGTGATGAGTCCCCTATCTTATATAAGGATAGGCATATAACTAGGATGTCAGCCAAAAAGATCATTTATGGGTTGTGTTTTCCTTTTCTGTACCCTCTTGTTAACAGCTAGTAAGTAGCACCACTTACAGTTCAGGAGCCTCATGTTTATAGCCTGAGAGTATGAATGGCACTTTCCGAGGATAGATGACAGTAGGAACTAAATTCTCATTGTTCTATTGTGGAATTAAATTGCATGTATGACTGAAACCTAACTAGTACACAAAGCACATTGAAAATGAAGTTAGTTGAGGGAACTTGATTCTGTATTCTCATAAATTCAATGGGTACTTGCACTGGAAAAGGAGTAGAGTTACTGTGCTAAGATCTGCTTGACCTAAAGCAACTCTTTAAAATACTCTTTAAAATGCTTTCAGACTCCTTGTTTGAATGTACATTTAGTTTCCTATTCGCTACAACTGATCTGGAAAAAAATGTTAATATTCCATGATAAGATTGCTGAGTGTTCTGCATTGAGTTTGAGTTTAAATTTTACTTTTACATCAGCAGTAGCTTATTTGCAAGGGATTTCTTGAATATTGTCACATCCTTTCAGGAATTTGTAGTTGTTTTACCTCCTTAATTTGGCTGTGTGATAACCTGCTACATGGGATTGAAGTAAACTACATATATTTTCTCAATTTGGATGTAGAAACCATTCCCGACTTTCTTACAATGAAACCAATTCTAGAACAAGAGAACTGTTTTAGTTTAAGTAACAAATTTGGTTTAATTCCTCGAGGCATAGAGATGAGGAGAGAGGTGAAAAGTTGTAGAGCAAGATGAGGATGTTAGATTTGAGACACATCCATGAGTCTTTCATTTGTTCATGAATTCTGATGGTTCTGGAAAGTCAGTCTTTTTAGGTGTTCCCAGTCTTTCATCCAACATGCTCAAAGAAGTTCAGTCCTCAGGAGGACTGACAGAGCCTCTGCTTGAGTATACTAGGACCCAAGTCAGTACACCAACAATGATGGAGAGCAATCACTCATCTGAATAACTAGGTGGTAAAGTGTCTGGGATTTTTTGTTGTGTGGGGTTTTTTTGTTATTTCTCACCTTTAGTATTGTCTCATATTTAATGTATCTGAACAATAATTCTTTGGAAGGCCAACCTATTCCCATTTTTTTTCTATTATACCTTCTGTAAATTATATGCTACCAGCAGCAATTCTTAAGAGGTTTTTTCCATATTCTAGAGTTGGGGCTGTTCAGCCTGGAGAAGAGAAGGCTCCTGGGTGATCTTATAGCAGCTTTCCAGTACCTAAAGGGGGCCTACAGGAAAGCTGGAGAGGGACTTTTTACAAGGGTGTGTAGTGATAGGACAAGGGGCAATGGATTTCAACTGAAAGAGGGCAGATTTAGGTTAGATATAAGAAAGAAATTCTTTACGTTGAGGGTGGTGAGGTACTGGAATAGGTTGCCCAGAGAAGTTGTGGATGCCCCATCCCTGGAGGTGTTCAAGGCCAGGTTGGATGAGGCCTTGGGCAACCTGGTGTAGTGGAGGATTTCCCTGCCCATGGCAGGGGGGTTGGAACTGGATGATCTTTGAGGTCCCTTCCAACCCTAACCATTCTATGATTCTAAAATTCTGTGTTTTCCACTCCACTGCTTTAATGCTGAAATTGCCTGAAAGTCATGTCAGCCAAATCTTTTTATTACCAGAATCTCGTTTACCTGAGTTAGATATCAAGCTAACCATCTGCAATCGTATAGATACTCTATTTCAGAAAATCACATTATCACTGTTTTTTCTCTTTCTAAGTTTGTTAACTATCAACATGAGTGGTGAAGGAGCATTTTAAGATGGTTAGGACAGTAAATTTTCATTTCTAATTAATGTTCTTTAATCTCATTAACGAGGAAATTGGGAACTTCATTTTTATGCAAACACATAACTTTTGTTTTCTCCAGCATGGAAAAGAAAGTTATTCAATACTATTTTTTTTCTATTTTGTAATGAAACCTTTAAAAAGATATTTATTAATACTATTGTTCTGCATTCAATTTAAAACAAACAAAAAATAACCATGACTATGACTTCCTTTTGTTGCCAGTTATTTATTTTTCCCTAATGGTTTTTGTCCTTCATCAGCATAAGCTTATAATCCACTTTCTTTTTATCATATTTATGCTGTTGTATGCTGATGAAGAAAAGCTTGATTTTCATGAAATAGACAACTTGCCATGCTAGCCAACAGAAAAAATAATTTGTCTGTAAATTTTACAAATTAAATGTTTTGATTAAACATAATGTCTCACAATTACTATTTGCAGAAACATTTTTATTTGGTATAATCACATTTAAAGGTACCACAAGATTTTTACTCTGTTGTTACAATAGTTACAAATCCAAATATCACTCTTTAAAATGTATTTTTATAGAAGAGTATGTAACTGGGTAGTCTTAAGATGACTCACCTTTTGCTTCTATAGCTGTCATGGAAACCGACAAGATGGAAAAATTTCAAAAAATTGAGAAGTGTAGCAGTATTTTAGAACTCATATACATGATTTTTATACTTGTAGAATAGTTTTTCTTAATAAGAACTTACCAGTAATGGAGGACAGTCTTTACAAGAAGAGATAAATGCTAGTGCATCTTACTGTCTGTAAATTTTTACAGACTGAAGGGATCACTTCAAGTGCGTGTGCATTTTCTGTAATCTATCCTGATTTATTTTAGTGAATCTGGTGTAGTCACAGTAATTCTTGTCTGCTGCAACAATCCTATTGCAACAATGTTTTGGGAGAGTTGATGGCACAATTCCAAAAACTTAAATTACTTTTTGCAATTATCTGGAAAAAGTGCATGTTCAAATCCTAACAGATGGCCCTAAATGCTATAGTGTTGTTCCCTCTTAAAAGTTAACTTGCAGCTGACTTGGTCCTGAAGTTGAATGCATGCAAGTACAGTTCTAGTGCCTAGATGGATCTGTGGCTTATTTTTTTTCCAGGAGGTTTTCTGTGCCTCCCATTGAAGAAGAAAAATGATAGTGATCTAAGTAGTTGCTTCAGCATGAACTTCATTACATATCATTAATTGCAGTGAAGCTATCTAATTCTTACTACTTTGTTTAAACACCTGATACTTGGGTATAAAATGCCAAGCTTGACACAGCATGAGAACACTGCAGAAGTACACATTGAGAATTCTACTCGATTAACTGATTTTATACTCTTATCATTGCAATTCAGCAGTTAATTTTCTTTTGTTTTTTCTCTCTATTTTTACCTCTATTTTAAATAAGATTTTGTTAAATACCAGCATATGATTTGTAAACGTGGATTAGGGCTTTCTGTTTTTAATAAAGCTTTCAGAATCACAGGCTGCCATACTTTGAGTCACCGCAAATAGGAAGAAGGAGGAATGTAAATTTTAAAATAGAAAATTCCTCAAAAGATTTAAAAAATAAAAATTAAAAAAAATAGCAATTACAGGATTTGAAATATTACAGTCAATCTCTTTGGACAATGTGAAGAGATCTAAGAGCACATATTACTTAACTGCAAAAGCAAAAAAAACCCAACCAAAACACAACCCTCCCCAGCTATAATTTAATTTTTCAAACTCAAAAATTAGTCTGTATACAACAGCTCAGTTTTTATGGCTATTACTATGTTTTTAGTAACAGGAACTTTATGGGAAGGTACATCAATTAATCTTAATCTGGAAAAAAGGCTGGTTAGATTTAATTCTTCCCTGTATTCAGAAAAGGCTTTGAAACATTAGGGAGAAATCATTGATACATGAAGTAGAGCTATGGTGAGGGTGGGAACACACTGAAAAACATATTTCTCAATTTGAAAATAAATAAAATAAACCCTGCCTACCCATCTGTAGTGAAAATTAACAAAACATGCTATCTTGTTTCCAAGCAATCTGTGCTGCATGGATATCTTATTTTTCATGTGTTGCCATTTTTTTTTTCCATATTTTTGTAACTTGGATTCCTAACAATTTTAAGAATTTTAGTGTAAACTTCAGAATCTATAGTTTATAGTTTGCTTGTTTATTTATTTAAATTATGATGCAGAATTCCTGGTTACTACTGTCTGCTAAGTTAAGGGCTGCTGTTTATCCTTCTTGTGTCAACTAAGGCTAGCTCTTCCCAGGATCACCAAAAGTGTACAGTGGTTTCTGGTCATCTTTCATCTGTCCAAGCTTAAAGTAATCTATTACTGTACAACATATGAGTATAAAACTAAATTTCATGCTTTTTTTTTGTTAGTCAACTTTCCTTGGAATTCAGTTTTGAAGGATCCATTTCAAATATTGCTGTAGTTAAGTGTCACCATCTTTCTGATTGTTAAAATACACTTTGGAAAATGAGAAAGCTTTGGGGATCATCATGAAAGCAGAAGTGCTCATTAATGAAGGGCCATTCCTTCTGCCTCACCCTTACACGTGTAATAAATAGCTTGACAAATGCTCTCACCAAAGCTAATAATCCAGAATGATTATTAAAGAACGGAGTGGAGAAAAATAAGCTTCTATGATTGTGTGTTCCATGGTCATTCTGAGCCTATAATGAAAAAATACTTGTTACATCTGTTTTGTTTTACAGTAAAGTATTTTCTATTAAATTATACCCTTCATGTTGAATCCTTTCAGTAGTAAAATCAGACCCTTTTTAGTCAGTGGTCTTCAGATTTTTATATGCTGACAGCACTTCTTTGTCAATCTAGGAAAGAATATTCAGATGGTCTCCTATCTTCAAGATGCAAAAATGCATTTAAAAGACAACTTTGGAAATACACACAAGACCTAAGACATAGGAAAAAAGTGGGTTTGTAATATTAGTTATAGCTCTAAAGATTTAGGTGTCTATTATGCACTTCTACTAATGGGTTTCACTATGAATGCCAAAGAGCATTTCTGTAGTGACTAGTTAGGAATAGGGGGAGAATGGAAGAGAAGACTCCAAGGTTCTGAGCTTTCTTGGGATTCATGTTGTTCACCAGTAGTTCTAATTCTGATGGATTGATGCAGTTTAAAAATATGGTTTGTTTTTTTTATTTGCTATTTGTTTATAACCACACTAGTACGGTGAAGAGCGCTCTCAGATCTAAGAATTTTTATTCATTAGAATGACATCCTGAACACATCTGTATAGGAGGTAATAAAAACGTTTGGATGCTGCCTAAACTGATCAATTATTTTATTATAAACCTTACACTTCAATAGAACCAGAAATTATTTAAGAGTAGACCAGGTTAAGCTTTCCTCTTAATTATACTGACCGCTTGCTAATACAGATGAACAATTTGCAGTGCTTCATTTTCATCTGGTTTTAGTAATCATACATTAATTTATTCATGTGCATAGTTGTACTGCTGTAGATTTTTTCTCAATAATTAGCTACACCATATGTGTATCCTGTGTCATTACCTGAATCAACATTTAAAGCATGCTGTATTTTTTACAGTAGCACTTCCATTCTCATTCAGGATAAAAGGAAACAATTAAATTATAGTAACTGCAATCATACATTTTTCCAACACGTTTTTAGGGTATTGTTTTAAGGTGGTGTTTTAAAGGACTTGTTACACTTTCTCCAAGAATCTCTAGAATTTGGTTTGGAAAATTAAGTGTAGATACAGGAAAGCTGATGGACTTCACTATATCCAGTTTTTGAGTTTCTTCTATTTTATTCTTTACCTATGCAGAGATTCAGATCCCCCTTCAACTCTGTTTATTTTTCTTCTTCCTGTCCTTCCTCTACTCTTTATCTTCAAGTGCAAAATGTGTATTATATGCAAGTGTAACTTCCTCAGTGAGTTTTAATCAGTTTTTCTTCTTTGCACAGTCCCTTCAGTCTGAGTATGTTCAGTACTAAAGCCTTGCTGCTTTGGTGAAACATGTTGAGCTCTTAAAATCGAAGTCCTTCAGGAAGAAGAACTTAAGGAAGGAAGCTGCTCACTCAGAGGATGAATCTTCACTACAAGACATTAAAACCTTAACACCAAGAGGAGACTTCTTAACATGCAGAAATTTCTTGCTAATGACTACTGCAGATGCACTGATGTTGAATTTATGGAAATTATTTTCCCCTATGTTATATACAGATTTAAATTTTTAATGTTGAGACAGCTTGAATATATTTCTAATGAGTTTCATTCAGATGTTTATTAACTTGTGTACAGTGTTAAAATATGTATTAAGAGAATATTTTGGTAAGCAATATATATAAACATTATGTAAAAATTAGAATATATTTTAATTTAGTGGTTTTCACTTTGCTACAAAAAGGTGTATTTTAAAGAATTTTTACATGTTTATCAAAGACTAAATTTTTATGAACAAGATGTTTTTCTTGTTTTATGGGTCCATCATTATTGCTAAGAGCCTAATGTAATTACTTTTTCACTAATTGGTCTTCTGGTAACTTAATGGAAGTCTAACTAGTGAGAAACTAGTTATTACACTAGCAACTGAAAGCACTTAATACATAGTCTGCTCTCCACTTTCAGCTGCTGATTTTTCATAAGGAAATTATGAAAGAAAAATAAAGGGAAAATACTTGTTGAGATGTAATGTAACTTACATCTCCCATTGCAAAGAGAAAGTAATTTATCTGATGATTCAATTGTACAATTAAGGCGTTCTTTCAGTTTGTCTCAAAGGAATGTTTTAACTTTGTTCTTTTCAATGCGGTGTGTTAAATTTTGCTATGCAATACATACTGCAAAAATTACGGCAGACCAAAGTTAAGTTGGTAAGAATGTGTACATACAAACAATTTGGCAGTGCTGCATACTTACACATTTTTAACCTATGTTTAGCAGTATGTGTACAGTTTTATTAGCAAAGCATAATAAAGTAAAGGTTGGAAGTATATTAAATTTTCACTTACCAATTGGATGCTTCATAAACTTTTTAATTGGAAAGCTATTGTTAAACATAGAGCTAATGTAACCTCCTGTATCACATAATGTTTCTGTCAGTAGTAAAGATGCTCTCTAACATACAGTTCAACCAGGTGTGATTAGGAATGAGACAGAATGAAGTGGTATTACAGTGAAGTACTAGATTATGTGTAAAATTTTCAGAACTCCACAAGTCCGCAGTAAGCAAAAAAAAAAAAACCATGAGCAGCTGTGAGGACTTGATTTGCCACCAATTTAGAAGTCAAAACCAAAACATTTATTACCTATGAGTTCTTCCAATATCTACAGAAACTTGAAAATAAACCTTGATTGTCAGTCTTTGTGTCTGAAGACCTGTGAATGCCCTGTGTTTGCTTTACAACCGAAGTGAAGTGCCACATCAGTTTTTAAAAAGATCAGATCACAAATCGTACTGAAAGTGTTAATACGGAATGCTGAGAGCAGCTATTTAAATCACTGAACAAAATGTACATGCAATACTGTACTTTTTCCACCATTGTGTATATGTAACATATACACACATGAAGTAGCATATGCCTGTGCATATATATACAATATACTGTATATGAATTATAGATTAATGGTAAGGTAATTCTACCTCTTACAAAGAATTTTGTCATGTACTTTGTTATAAATAGTTTTCCTTAATAAAGTATTGTTTAATTTTGAAATGTAGAGATATATATACATAGAGCTAATTGATAATAAAATGCTCATATCAGCCAGCTTCCTTGTTTCTTGGCTTTTCTTGCACCTTTTGACGTAAACTAATATAATTAGATCTCTAATTGAAGAGTAGCTCTTCAAAATCACCTTCTTTCTTCTAAAGCATGTAATGTATTTATAAATAGGATGACGTTGCAAAAAGACATTAGTATGACAAATATCTTTATAACTGATCTCTTTAGCTAAACTTCTTGTGTTTGCTTTGTGTAACATCAAGTATTTAATCAATGTGTTGTTATTATGATGTAAAGGTTATATTTCGAAAAAAACATAATTTAAAAGATGTGTCTGAATTGAAGAAACTTTTTTTTCCTGGATAAGGACCCTTGTTAAAAGGTATATTATACCTTGTCTTTTTTGCATGTGTAACAGGTTTCTTAGTCTCACTAACAGCAGGGTCTGTGTCCATAAGAACCTAAAAGACCATGCTTTCATTTAGCCGTTTATCCTTCCTTCAATTAAAAACTAGTCACAAATGATCACATTGTTTAACTCTGCTGATTTTCAGCATATTTGTTGTGTTGCATGATTATTTATTCATGGTCCTTAACATTCCTGTCAAGGAAGTCTGTACTGCAATAGATAATGTGGACAGTATGTAAATGTTACATGACCACATGGCCAGGAATAAAGTGGATGCTTTAGAAGTTGCCCAAATTCTAGTGCCAGGTTAATCTAAAAACACAATAAAAGATTTCTGCCACTAGATTAAAACAATTAATGGATGTTGTTTTGGATGTGTAAATACAAAGGAAAACCAGCTAATTAAAAAGTTTCTAGTATGTAGGCATCAACCTCTCCCTTAGCCTTAACTTCTATTGATTTATTTTATGAAATAGAGTAAATGCCAGCTAATGTACAACATATTTTTTGTTCTTAAAAATGAATGATAAATACAGCCAGTATTCTGTAACAATCAGCTGCTTAACAACAAATGTGGGGACAGTGAAAGGTCAGGGAGGTCTTTAGAACCCTGTAGCTTTTAAAAAATACCCTGAAATTTGTTTCATAGCCTCTGTTCACTTATCCTTGAACTTTACCATTTCTGTTGCTTCATATATAAAGGTATCTCCATGTTCTGGAAGAACAAGCTGTAGCACAGGAGATCTTTAAAAAGAGGTTTGATAAACATGTAAGGATGGATTAAATAAATCTAGAGGTCTCTACTGGGCCTATGATTCTGTGGCTAATGCCTTATGAAACAATCATCTCTTTAAAGTATGCTTCATGAAGCTTTTTGATTAGGGAGATATTTCTTGTTACAGATTTAGAGAATATTTTTCAATTACAGTACTGCAGAAAGAGGAGGATTTTAGTTTCTATAATAACTGTTCTCTACTGACAGCTAAACAATGAAAGGCCTCAAAAGGTTTGACATTTGATTAGATCTACACTATAAAGTGCAGCAGGCAAAAAATATGGTAATTAAGGGCCCGATCAAGTAAATCACTCAAGTTTTGTCCTTAACCTTACGCACATGAGCAATCTAGGTAGTTAAAAAAGGATAGGTATTCATGTTTGTAACAAATCCACATTTGGATCAATATCCCTGTCAATTGCAAACATAAACCTTTCTGTCAAATAAAAGATATGCTATGTCGCAACAACATAATCCACTGACCCACACAAATGAACTTCCTTATCTTTGAGAATTTATATTGTATCTATAATTACATCCTAATACATTATTTTGGTATTGTCATTTTTTAGCATTGTGAGTTTAACAATATCTAGAAACATCTTTGGTCAATATACAGGTCATACCTTATGAACTGAGATTGCGTAGTTCTGTAGCCCCCACACAACCCACCTGTAAAAGCAGCTTTTCTTCCAAATTCACCACAGAATTAATCTGCATTCCTTTTCTGGAAAGCTTTTGAAAGGAAATGTAAGTTCTTTTAGTCATTTTCTTACTAAATCTTGTCCAGGGTAAAGGACAGTTAACATTTTGTCCCTGTTTGAGTAAAGCACTGTAGAGTTCCTGGGAGAATCCCATTATTAACTCTTCTCCATTCAGGAAGGGACTCTTAAGCCCTACTCTTCAACCAACTTCTAGTCTGCCTAAGAACCTGTCATTCATGTCTGTGGGAACTTGTGCTCTGAATAAATTTTGGTGCAAAACCGTTTCAAACACTGATTCTGTTTTATCTGTGTACTTACTGACACCAGTGTTCACCTCTGGCAGGCTGGTGATGCAGGATTTCCCGTGGGCTGAGACAGGCTGAGTTTTATGAAGAAATGTAGAATATGCAAATGGAGGACCAGCTTCCTCAAATAAGAAGTACTGTCTTACCAAGGATCTATGTATCTATTGTGTCTGAAAGATTTAATTTGGAAAGTATATTATTATAGACCAGTTCTAAAATTAACTTTAGGCTCGCAGAAGCGTAGTGTGCTTTCTCTTAAAAATAATATCAGAAAAAAAAACAGTTTAAGTGAGTATCTAGCAGAGGAGCTTCTACAGTGAATGGACTGTATTTCGGACAGAAGTGACTGATACTGGTTTGAAAGCTTGCTGCAAATGAAAGTTGTGTAAATGGGTTAGAACCAGGAAACTGGTAAGGCAAAGAGAAGAGTCAGACTAGTTGCAGTATTTCTGGAGCATGATAGGATTTGGGTGGTTTTTTTTTCCTTCTTGATTTAACAAGTTGAAAATCTGCTGAATAATTCATGAAGAGTGGAAGGGCTGAATCTTCCTGGAATGATACACAGTGTACGTACTGTGGCACAGGAGAAACTGCAAAGCTTTGTATCAGTTGCTGCCGCTTCTGCTGCTGATTGCAAGGTGCTGCTGCTTTTGGCGTTTTCACAGCTACAGAATCCTCAGTCGTGCTCTGGTCTGCTAACAGCTATCTGCTCCCTATGGACTCACCTTTGCTAGCTACAATCTGTGGGATCTCTTCCTACCTACCTGATTTGGACACTGCTGTTCTCTGGATCATTACCAAAACTGCCTTTTCTGGACCTTGCCGCTTGTATGACTGAAATCTCCCTTAGAGTCCCTCAGCTGCACATCCTCCCTTGTGCTTGGTGGGGGACTCCTGCAGCAGGATCTTCTGACCCAGACAAGGATGGGATTTACAGGGAGAAGTCAAAACTGAGCTGCATTCAGCGAGATGCCCAACGCCTCTTCCTGGAGTGCTAGCTCGCCTCTGCTGCTGCTCTGGGAGGACTCCTCCGGGACCCGCATCTTCCTGTCTCTGCTCTATGCAGTCTTGGCTATCTCAGGGACTTTATCCAATGTGATGGTCATCTATTTAGTCTTCTCCTTCAAGAAGCTGCAGACAACCAGTAACGCCTTCATTGTGAATGGCTGTGCGGCAGACCTAAGCGTGTGCGCCTTGTGGATGCCCCAGGAGGCTGTGCTGGGGCTGCTGCCTCCCAACTCCTCCTCTCTTCGCTCGGCGGAGTACCGGCTGCTCCGAGGGGGGCTCCTCGGCTTCGGCCTCACCGTCTCCCTGGCCTCTCACCTGCTGGTGGCCTTCAACAGGTACGTGCTCATCACCAAGCTGCCCAGCGTGTACCAGGCCCTCTACCAGCGGAAACACACGGGCTGCATGATCGGGCTCTCCTGGGCCCTTGCCCTGCTCCTGGTCCCGCTGCTGCCGGGGCTCT